TGTAATAACTTCTAAATACGTACATAACTCGACAAATCGATTATTAGTCATGACAATTAAAAACACATTTGGTATACATGTCATTCGATATATAAAAATATTATTCACTTATGTCAAAGCATGGGTATAACGACCCTATCGAGGTATTACTTAAAATTTTATACCAATTGTGTTTTTAATTGCCATGACTAATAATTTATGTTATTTTTAAGTATTTCATAAGGATTAGCGGCTGAAGATGACACAATTAAATGTTCGAAACGTTCCGCAGTGTATAATTTTTCAATAATAAATTAATTGTCAAAAAATTTGCTCGAAAAAAGGTCTGTTCAATTATTTCGATTTTTCAATAATAAATTAATTGTCAAAAAATTTGCTCGAAAAAAGGTCTTTGCTCAATTATTTCGATTATATATATATTACTATTATTCGAGCCGATCTATTTTTGTATTAAATAATTAACATTTATCCTTCCTAATTTTTGAAAAATATTTTTCAGCGACAAAGAAATAAAAATTTCATCGTTTTTCGTGTTAATGCGCAACGACATTTTTGAATAACGAGAAACAAGTTTGGAGGAAAGTGTTCGTCGTTTGATGTGTTTTTAATTGTCATGACTAATAATTTATGTTATTTTTAAGTATTTCGTAAGGATTAGCGGCTGAAGATGACACAATTAAATGTTCGAAACGTTCCGCAGTGTATAATTTTTCAATAATAAATTAATTGTCAAAAAATTTGCTCGAAAAAAGGTCTTTGTACAATTATTTCGATTTTTTAATAATAAATTAATTGTCAAAAAATTTGCTCGAAAAAAGGTCTTTGCTCAATTATTTCGATTATATATATATTACTATTATTCGAGCCGATCTATTTTTGTATTAAATAATAATTAACATTTATCCTTCCTAATTTTTGAAAAATATTTTTCAGCGACAAAGAAATAAAAATTTCATCGTTTTTCGTGTTAATGCGCAACGACATTTTTGAATAACGAGAAACAAGTTTGGAGGAAAGTGTTCGTCGTTTGATGTGTTTTTAATTGTCATGACTAATAATTTATGTTATTTTTAAGTATTTCGTAAGGATTAGCGGCTGAAGATGACACAATTAAATGTTCGAAACGTTCCGCAGTGTATAATTTTTCAATAATAAATTAATTGTCAAAAAATTTGCTCGAAAAAAGGTCTTTGTACAATTATTTCGATTTTTTAATAATAAATTAATTGTCAAAAAATTTGCTCGAAAAAAGGTCTTTGCTCAATTATTTCGATTATATATATATTACTATTATTCGAGCCGATCTATTTTTGTATTAAATAATAATTAACATTTATTCTTCCTAATTTTTGAAAAATATTTTTAAGCGACGAAGAAATAAAAATTTCATCGTTTTCGTGTTAATGCGCAACGACATTTTTGAATAACGAGAAACAAGTTTGGAGGAAAGTGTTCGTCGTTTGATGTGTTTTTAATTGTCATGACTAATAATTTATGTTATTTTTAAGTATTTCGTAAGGATTAGCGGCTGAAGATGACACAATTAAATGTTCGAAACGTTCCGCAGTGTATAATTTTTCAATAATAAATTAATTGTCAAAAAATTTGCTCGAAAAAAGGTCTTTGTTCAATTATTTCGATTTTTCAATAATAAATTAATTGTCAAAAAATTTGCTCGAAAAAAGGTCTTTGCTCAATTATTTCGATTATATATATATATTACTATTATTCGAGCCGATCTATTTTTGTATTAAATAATAATTAACATTTATCCTTCCTAATTTTTGAAAAATATTTTTCAGCGACAAAGAAATAAAAATTTCATCGTTTTTCGTGTTAATGCGCAACGACATTTTTGAATAACGAGAAACAAGTTTGGAGGAAAGTGTTCGTCGTTTGATGTGTTTTTAATTGTCATGACTAATAATTTATGTTATTTTTAAGTATTTCGTAAGGATTAGCGGCTGAAGATGACACAATTAAATGTTCGAAACGTTCCGCAGTGTATAATTTTTCAATAATAAATTAATTGTCAAAAAATTTGCTCGAAAAAAGGTCTTTGTTCAATTATTTCGATTTTTCAATAATAAATTAATTGTCAAAAAATTTGCTCGAAAAAAGGTCTTTGCTCAATTATTTCGATTATATATATATTACTATTATTCGAGCCGATCTATTTTTGTATTAAATAATAATTAACATTTATTCTTCCTAATTTTTGAAAAATATTTTTAAGCGACGAAGAAATAAAAATTTCATCGTTTTTCGTGTAATGCGCAACGACATTTTTGAATAACGAGAAACAAGTTTGGAGGAAAGTGTTCGTCTCAATTTTCAAAAGCGCAGAAGACGGTCTAAAAACATTCTTCGCGTCTCTATTCACAGCGCTCCATCGATTAATCCACATTCTGCCGATACTTTTCTCTTCGGTCGAACTTACTTATATTCCTCGGTTCTCCCTCGGGCAACCTTCACGACAGTCGTCCACGAGAAACAAAACCATCGGTCACCTTTTACTTCTTCACGTAGAGAAGCGAAGAAGATCCGCCCCTTGCTGGAAATGTTCGCTCGATAGGTAGCTAGCTCTCTGCTCTCGCCCTTTGGGGTTTCATTCTTCGGTCTTATCTTTAACTCTGATAATTCTACTCCTGTCTCATATCCGTTCATCATCTTTCTCCTCTCGACGTTCACGTCTCCCTCTCGTCTCTTTTCCCTTCCGTATCTGTCCGTTCCTTACTTTACTGCATTTACATTCAGGATTCTAGGCAACTAGCCTCTTTCTACGCTGAAAAAAATTATTGAATTCAAATAGATATTTATTTCATTACTGTCTGATAAATCATATTTATTTGAAACTAATAATATTGTTTTGATGTGCGAAAAATATTTATTTTTGATATCAGAAAATCATTTTTTAATGATTCATTAGGCAGTATTGAAATATTGATTAATTAAATTTTTTCAGTAAAACTCTTGCTCTTATCATAACACATCGTTTTCCTTCCCTCTTAAACTGTCTTTCTCCCTCACGTGCTTTCCCTCTCGCTCTCCTCTTCATCTTCTCCCACTTTAATCCTCTCATCCCTTCTCTTGTTCTCGATCCACCCTCTCATTCCACAGAATCTGTTCTATGTTGACCACTCTGAATTTGTGCCTCCTTGTGGCTTATTGTTAGCTACATTCCCATGGATCCCGTTTGTTTCTCCAACAATTCCTTTATTTCGATTTGTTTCGTTATTTTTCTCCTATTTTTCTCTTTAAAGCTTATTTTTAATCACCTGTAATTTGCGATAAAATTCGAGATAGAATTTATACATACAATTTTATGTATCATGTAATATAGAAAATATTAGAAATATTTAAATATATGGTACACATGTATAAATAACATATATGTATACAGACGTATACATTAAGATGTACGATGCATGAAATTGTAAATAGATTTCGATTTAAAATTTTATCACGAAATAAATTGTACGAAGTAATTTTTATATTTTCTTCCTTTCACTACAGATATTTTCATCTTATTCTATTTTTTGCATTTCGTCTTACGTGCTGACACGTCTCTATTACTTCCTCGATAGAAGAAATATTCTCGCATTCTTGTTCCGACCTTATTTCATGGATTTTTCATCCCTCTTTCTCTTCCTATTCTGTGTGTCTTTATCATTCATACGCACTTCTGCTTCTGTCTTGCTCGTCAACTTTCCACAATGTTACCTCCTTTTTCTCTTTCATCTCGTTCTCTCTAATCCACCTTCACTTCCGCTAAAGTATTTTCCTCTCACTTTTCTCTAACTATCTCACTCTGGTTGAGTATTTCAACTTATCTATCTCTTTTCCTCCTATTTCTGTATATAGTATGTAATACTTTGCCTCTCATCTTCCCTCCCTATGTACCATTAAAGCATTTCCTCTTTCTCTCGACTTTTATTTTAGTCGTGCTTCCCATAGGCGTCGATATTAGAAGACATGTGTAGAAATTTTTCGACCTATATATTGCAATATATTTTTTGAAAAATATTACACAATTTTTAGTCTGGGAAAATTCAGAAATAAATACAATTCTAGAAAAAATACAAGTATATATATATATATATATGTATGTGTGTTTAGCGGCAATCTTACAATTAGAAAAATTAAAAGAAAAAAGATACCAGTTCAGAGCGCGTTCCAAAATGACTAACATTAAAAGCAATAATTACACGGAAAAAATAGCTACCACAACTACTAGAAATTAAATCATCATGTATATTGTTTCTCTAACGGAATGAGAATTTAATTATTTAATTATTAATAAATCTTTACATCTTATTTAATTGCTCGTTTAGTTGGCTTACAATATTAACTTTTGTTAATTTTGTTAATTTATACGAGCCTTTCATTAATTAATTTTAAATTATCATGTCTAAATTTGAACTACGGTACCTAATATTTTGTAGCTATAATTCATCAGAGAATTATTCAGCTGAGAAAAATGTCACGACAACTAAAATCTGATCCTCCGCCTTTGACCGAGTTCACCCTCGCTCACGCATGTTTCCATGCCACCCCTTCACGCACCTTCTCCGAGAACGCTACCCTTCTCCACGTCGTCATCCCTCTCCTGGGCTACCTCTCTCCTTCGGTGCTCCTTCTCCCGGCCAATAATTTTCTCTCTCCCCATCCAGAGAGCATCCCTTCCTCGTCTTTCTCTCTCTCTCTCTCGCGGCTTCTCTATCACACCCCCATGGCAGCCACCCCCTCTATACGCTGTCGCTTCGGGCGCCGCCGCCGCTGTCGTCATCAGCGTCGGTCCAGCGGTTAACGGTCTCGCGCGGCACCGGATCGCTCAGTCGGCATCGCGTCCCACCCGCGTTCGGAACGTCGCGGTCCGAGTCGCGCTGAGCGATCCGCCACCACGGCCGAGCCACTCGTGGCTTCAGCCTCTTTAGACGCTTAGGTGGATTCGTCGAGATATACGCTGCCCGATATATAGTTGCTAACCGAGGCTGCGAAATCGCCCGAGGATACGACACACTCGCTCATCCCCTAATCTCGAAGCTGCCAGCCCGAAGCCGCCAATCCGCGCGCTTAGTCTTCCGCGTCTTTGGACATCAACCCGAAATGGTTCGTTACTCCGTATATCTTTGATTTGCTTTGGTATTACAGCCACGGCCGGTGAGTCAATTCACCACGATGACGCCTCCTAGATCTTGAGATCTGTTGACTCTTGGCAACTGGGTCAGGATATGTAAGCTTCTGTTATTTGCTCGCGTTAAGAGAGAGCGCACGTATTCCCAGGTATTCCCAGGTCTGCCACTAAATGCCAGGTCATTGAAATTGTCAAGATTGGAAATGGTCTTGATAAATCCTCCTGTTGTTCTGATAAAATCGCCGAATTTTAGAAATTTTGACTTGGTAGGAGAATACATCAACATTGCAATGGATCTGGATAATATTATAATAATTAAGTTTTACCTATTGAACTTATCTTTCAACTTGTCCCGTTTAATTTATTTAGATTCGTGCAAAATTGATGATATTCTCCCTTTCTGTAACCGCGGTATTTCAATAGATAATTGAATCGGATCGATAATTTAACGCGTCGTGAATAGATAATGAAGAAAATTAAATTGTTAATTTTAGTCATCGCTTTAGACTCCTACAGCCGACATATTTATAAAATTATAAGTTAATTTTAGATTAAATATACTAAAGGTAATGCATTGTCATCTTTTGTGTGCACGAAATTCTAGAGATTATTTTACAGCACAATTTACGTTAATAATTATATTAGAAATAACGAGATATAATTATACGTTTAATAATCTACATCTAAAATATACGAATACCATTTAATTATGAACAGTGTGTATACTCAGATTCGTCGATAATATGAGAGTTTAATTTCAATGCAATCTTTTGGTGCTTGATTAAATAAAATTTATCATGTGATTCTTAATTCTTTTATATTGTACGCAATCATTTTTCTTTTGTAAACATACATGGAAGTAATAAGATATGTATCGCTACACATTTTTCTGACAGCGGTAGATAGCAGCGATATTTCAGTTCAAACGATATATTTTACTATGTCTGGCATGTTTCAACCTGGTAGAAAACTGGATGATTGCCTTATGTGACTTGACTCGCGAAGCATATATTTGATAAGCAGAGCTTATAATCGAGAATCTGGCTCAGAATCAGTGATATATGCGCGCGTGCGCGCGTGTTTTTCTTCTTAATTTATATGTATTGGTAGTGTATTCCAAAAAAAAAGAATAAAAATCACAAAAAGATACACTGCAATTAGCTACACACGCTGGACAAGCATAAACACCTACTTATATTTTTAAATCTCTTTTTTACAAGCTTATCATTAATGCCTTAATTCTAACGAGCGTAGCCGAAAAAGCATATCAATATTTATTATTGCAGAGCAACGTTTAAATTTTTACTTTTTTATCTTCCAGTCACGGAATATAATATATGTATGCACAAACATAATGAAAACCAATGCGAGATGCTGTGTATTTTATTCGTAAAGTGTGAATTTAAATACGCGATATTTCCATACGTCGATGTAACATTTGTCGCTGTATTGTTTTAGCTTTGATCATGCGGAAAGCAACGATTAAAATTGCAAAATTTATTTTAACGAGCGTGCATATAAAGATATATTGATTTTGCTTACAGCGTCGAGTAAATTTCAATTTTCAGTTACAGCCATATGCGTAATGCACACATAATTACATTGTAAAAGCTATTTTAAAACAGATTACGAAATTAACAGCTTACAAAAACTATGAAATATGTTAAACTCATTTTAGGTGATTTATAATTTGCAACAAAATTTAGGATATAAATTTTATTCATAATTTCATGTGTAATATGATATTTAAATGTATTTCTGTAAATATCATATTACACATGAAATTGCCGAAATTTCGAAATCTTTTCTAATTTTTAAATATCTATCTTTCGTTCATTATTCATCAAAAGTAAATCGACAGCGTTGATCGTCGATCATTCGTGAAGTCTGTCTTGCTCGAAAACACCTGTTCAGATTGATCCGGATATTGCTGAATAGTTGTAACCTATAGTCACGTTCCACATTTCAATTCATTCGCGAGAGAGCACGTGACGAGAGCCGCGCTTTCCATTGTGGAGAAGAGGCTGCCTGAGAAGCGCGCGCTTGTACTACTGCGTAATATACGCGTTCCTCCGTCTGTCCGTAAAGCGGCTCGAACTACTTGGCGCGCAATCGTCGGCCTCTCGTCCTTATCGAGAGGCACCCACTTGGCGCGAATGCAGTTTCATCTGATCGAGACGACTCGATTTTTATCTGGCACAATCTTTATCTCTCTCTCTCTCTCTCTCTCTCTCTCTCTCTCCTTAGATTAAGAAATTCACTTAACGTGATTTTGATTTTTCTGTTATCCTTCACTAATATGAGAAAAAAAAACGATTTTGCGAATTGCCAATTTTTCACATATATGCTTGTTTTTCCCAGCGAAACGATTAATCATCTGCTTAATTTATTCCGCTACCGAAATTGTTGCGTTCATGAATACAAAAGATATTTGTCTGACGTGAATTGTTAACAATGAATCAACTCCAAGTCATTAATCTTTCAGCATTAATTATGAAGAGAGATTATACAATGTATATATATATTTATTATATTTATTTGCAATGTATAATATAAGAAAATATTGAGATAATATTTTCGGCGATACACATTTGTGATTAAATTTCGCGCACAAACTTTTCAAACTCCAAAGAATACGATCTTTTATCCTGTTAAGTTTAAAGTGCCTCACGAAAAGAGTCTCTAAAAGGGTGACATGTAAGGGTCTCAATGTCACTCCAGAGATGATATTAGCGACAGTAGTCTACTGTAAAACGACGTTTATAACGGGCGTTCGCAGGATTGTCACGTCTAGAATTTTAGAACCTGACACGTTGAAAAAGCAATTTTTTCGTAGTAATACTTTCCTATATATATATCGCACATGATGGAGTTTCTCATTAAAAATCTTCTTTCGCAAAAATTACTAAAATATGAGAAAGCAGATACGATCTATTAAATATTAAATGGAGAAAAAATATAACCTCTCCTTCTATGATAAATTGAAAAATCTTGTTCCTCCTTTTTAACGAGAAATTTGCATATATATAAGCATATATGTTTACCTTTCATTTTGATCCGACGGGTAAACGGATCCGAACACAGTAATCTCCCGGAAGTGCATCGAGCTTTCAAGAAAGAACTTTAATCGATGATTAAAATTTCCAATTTTGTTCAAATCAATTTTCAATACACAATGTATCATCACGAGCGCAACAAGGGATACGTATCGGAATACGTATCAGTGAATATTGTGAAATCGCTATCCGATCGTAGAGAGTTGTTCGACGAGAATGAGAGTTGTTCGGCGGAACGGAGTCGCGACAGAGATATAGAAGGGTATTAATCAGTAATCATATTTCCGGCGAATTTCCGGAGAGCCGGTTGATCGACTCGTCGACGCCGGCTAACACGATACGACCTGTAATTTTACGACGTGCAAAACCACGTCTAACATCACCGCAAACAACAGTCGTCGGTCTGTCTGGAGCCCCGGGGACAACGCCTCGTTTCTGAATTTTCATCGATCTGTCGAAATCCGCGGGCTCGGCCTTAGCCCATCGTCAGCGACGCCGTGTTATATTTTTAGCCCAGCCGAATAAAACTCTTTTTCTCTGTGCGCGGTGTTAAAAAACAAACACGTTCCCGCAAAAAAAGCCGAAAAATAAAGGTCAACCGAGAAAGGTGCAATAGAGACACGAAGCACGCGAAATAAGATTGGAGTTAAAACCTCTGAAATAATATAGTGAAGCCCCGAATACTTTTAGTCGAACGTGATGAATCGAACGTGATGTAGTTTCGAGCGAATGTTGGATGTTCCAAAGTTTGCTAATTGACTTTTGTATACGCGCGCGTTCACGCGCGAGAGATGATTTTTCTAGCGCCAGTTTTGAACTTTATTTAGCTAACTCTCGTCGACGTCGAGGCGTTTTATCAAGGCATTTACTTTGTGACGGGTCGCGCAAATAACTTTGCGACACATACCGTACCTACTTTGTTCGATGCACTGCGTACTGCATTTGCATAACAGAGAAACCGCGCTGGATATTACTATTGAATTTTACAAAACCGCCTCATTCCGACGTACGCATCTGAAATTAAAAATACTGTATTAAAAATACTGTGTCACAGGAAATCGCGTTTGCTCTCGTGTTATCGCAAACTGGCTTTATCTTTATATATCGCGTCAATTTCAATCAATTTACAAGAGATTTATATACGTCGATTTTATCGAATTTTAATAACCTTTATCTCTTTGCTCTCGCGTACATATATAAAAAAATAATATTAGAGATATACGCGACAGTCCAATTTCGCTTACTCGTGATTGAACTTTGATATCGCATTTTAGTGAAAAATTTAATAAATATAAATATAAATATATCCATTTTTTCCCCGAGTGTAATGAATGAAAAATGAATCAACATTGACCCGGAATTGCGAATTGAAATTAATATTAGCGCAACGAGCGAAATGATTTCTGCAAAAATATTTTCGGCAAAAATATTTTCCGATTAAACGAAATTACAGATTCGTTGAACTTTTTACAGCGAATTCCGCTGAGACTTTGGAACCGTATATTTGCGAGACCGAACCGTTCCAGGATAGTTCGGTGTAAAAATGAAACGAATTATTGCGGTTTCTCCACATGCAGTCCATTTATATACGACGAGCATGGTATTGGAAAAAGTTTTTATCGGTACATGAGAAAGATAGAGAATGAGAGAATATATATATATATATATTTTCTTGTTAACGATTCGATGTGGATGATAGTATTCAGAGAATTACTGCTAATTCATTCTAACAGGAAGACGAAAGTTAACTACATTACATTATAGAGTGTAGAGCGGAAATTTTCCACAACTGCAACATTACTCCATTACTATATCAGATCTCTTTTCTGATATCGTTGATAATTTAATATCTTTAGCGAGTTCAATTTAATATTCGCTAAAGAGCAAAATTACTCCAAACTCATCAACGGATTCGTAGA